CTTTCATTATAACTTTGTTTATTTTAAGTGTTTCATAAACTTTTATGTCAAAAAAGTTTTTTTATCTTTTCTAGGCTACAATAGGTGGCAAACTAACTAATACATCCGTCATTCTTCTGATTTTTGTAGGAAATTAACCATGTTGTGTATATCAGAGAGGTAGATTGAGTACTGTAATTCTTCCTTAGTCTATTTTCTTAATGTTTTCTTCTAAATTAAATGCTTCTTTTCTATCCATTTGGTCTGATTTTTGAGATGTATATTTATCCACCTTGTCATGTAACATCTACTTCTAAGGTGTTCTTTCTAAGGTGACTTTAGTTTGTAAATTTTTTGTCAATACTGCATATTCTTTTGAAGCGGTATAGATTGCTTTTTATTTCTGGGGTGGTCTGAAACTATGGGCAGATGTATGTGATTTTAAGTTTCTTTGCAATAAAGGCCACTTTCAATGTTCCGATTTTCTATAATTACCAACGCTTCTTAAAATAAGTAATGTCGTAGCTTTATGTTCTTGTCTTTTTTGGATAGATGCTATTTGCACATTCTGTAAATTGTTGTAAAGTTTATATCCCATGTGTCCAGATAACATAGCCAATGTATATGAATCTCTTGTAAATGTAAGTTCTGTCTCGTTAAATTATTCGTCTACAGTTTTTCTGATCATTTGAACAAGATCCTCCGATGAATCAACAAACGGATTGTAAACAGATATGTAAGGTAAGTTATTGTCTGTGCACATTTTTTGAGCAGTATTATGAGTTAAAGAAGTACTATCAAAAATTCTCACTATTTCTCTCGCCACTGTACACACAACTAAAACTTTGTATTTTCGACCTGGAATAATTTTAAATGTGATTAATAATGATAAAAAGTATGAAAAATAAATGGTTATACTAAATGGCATTATTATAGATACATGTACATGTAGCTATGTGAAGTTTTTTTTAGTCGAGGATATGCCAGATTCATATTCATATTTTACTTTTTCCAAATTACAAACATCTTAAAGAACGAAAGCAAAATACTAGAAATAGATTAATTGATTAATTATTATATAATATTAAATCAAATAATTAAAAGTGAATCAGTACAAAATCAAGATATGATACCATTGCAGTTGTCATTTATAACTTGACAGTATATGATAATATTTGCAATTGAAAGAGTCCATTCACCAGTCACTAAAATCTTTAAGAGGATCTGATTGTTTAAGCCGTGAAAGCCACAGTACATGTAAGATCAAGATATTAATATCAATAAAAAAAGTTGCAAACTTTAAATAAATAACTTTTATTTTCAGGTTTTAGAATAAAATCGAATTGCCAAGAGAGACTACAATCAATAAAAATATCTCAAATAACGTCATAGTTAAAACAATGTGCATATGAAAAGGTATGTTATATTGTCTATTCTTTCCCCACATTAACCAGGGCGTCTTTTCTTACCAGTTTTCAATTATCTTTATCAACTTGTTATTCTTAATTTATTACCCCCCCCCCCCGCCCAACGCAGAAGGAGAGATAAGATGTTAATATATTGTCCTTCCGACTGTTTGTTCGTGTATAAGTCCGTTCGTACGTCTGTAATTATGTACTTACATGATACCTTTATGGCATCGGGAAGTTTTAATTTGAATAAGGAACAATAGGGATAACAATGGAGTAGCCATATAAGTCCTGTCTCGTTACATTGTCCGTCTGTCCACTGTCCGTCACTAAATTGTTCGTCACGGAATTGAATGGAGCATAAAACTTAACTCTCTATTTGCAAAAGCTTGAGTAACTCATAAAGTTTTGGTAATATAAATTTGATATGTGAAAACTATACTTATATCATTTACATGCAATTTAATGAAAAACACAATTAATATCGTAGTAATAACTTCGGAGTTCTTGTCCATTGTATTTTTCATTTAATCATAAGAGAAAAAGTATTACTGATCGATATCAATTTGAAACTTCAAACATTTAGATTCTCATTAAGGAAGAGCATAATCTTTATTTACCATTATTACATTTGCACTTTTTAAACAACTTTTCCTGGGACCAAAACTAAGGAATTATTATAGATATCAATAGATACCTTATACATTGATATGTATCTTCTGTATATGTATAGACCGAAACAGATTTAAATAGGAAATAGCGTTAATACTCTAAACATATTGTAATTAAATGCATACAAGATAAGGTATATATATCGGAATAAACATCTGTAATGATATTGTCGTTGCTACAAGGTCAACGTCAACGTTACTAAACGTACAAATATTTCCCGTTTTATAATAAAAAACATAAAAAAGCATAATTATCTTCATTGAGTAATATACCCCTATCCTTCTCTGTGTGTGTATGTGTGTGTGTGTGTGCGTGCGTGTGTGTGTGTGTGTGTGTGTGTGTGTGTGTGTGTGTGTGTGTGTGTGTGTGCGTGCGATGGTGCGTTCGTGTGCGTGTGCTAGTGCGTGTGCGTGTGTGTTCAAAAGCCAAGGTCACAGAAGCATTAGTAGAAACCGTTTACGCTCCATTACCACATTCATTTCTAACACAACCTTGATGCTCAACAGGACGCGCACATTAATTAACTATACGCATGTCAATATTTTAGTGAAGGTTAAGACTCCTTTAACCCAATTAAGCAGATAGATAACCGTGTTATTTCTTGACTTGGAGGCTCAAATGTCAATACCAGAACCACCAGAATACCAGTTAATTATATTGATAAATCAAAGTGATTAAAAATGTACAAGTGGCCGCTAGAGAATATTGGTAATAAAATATATTCTAGAGTTAATGACTATCTGCTTGCGATAGGGAAGATATTTTCTCATTTAGACCAATGCATATTTTCTGTATTTCCTGCTATATGAATAAGACTATACATTCAACTTACTATTTTTGACTTTGCCCTTTTTTAAGTCCTTGACAAGCTTCTCAAAATCTGGAATAAATGTGACAACACAAACACAGAGATCACCAGCATTGACGACTCCAAGATCATCAATTACTTTTGAATGTATCCCACTTTCAGTAAGACGAGGCTGTATGTACTTCTCTATTGTCCTTTTGAAAAATGAATATTCTCCTCTTTCATATTCATTAGCAGCGTAAAGGTTAACAGTATTTCGACTTCTGCTAGAAACTGAAATTTTTTTGAAAACGCTCTGTGTAAAGGAATCAAACATATTGATTATTATTTTGAGGGAAAAAGTCCAATAATCCAATATCACAATGATTTAGAAAATTTAAAAACATGTAAGTTTTCTGTACACACAATAAAAGTTAAAAATTGATATCTAAAGCACATCGCTTAAGTATTTTACAACGATTCAATACATTTGTTGGTCAGATATCTTCTGATAATTTCATAGAAATGAAAAAAAAATGAAATGATAAAAAAGCAATAATCAAAGTATTGCAATCAGGTCCAATACTGGTTAGAACCCTTTCAACACTCTGAAGGGTCATAACAATAATGACTTTGTGGAAGGCCAAAATTACCTTAAATCTTTTGAATTCCTAATTTGTCTATATCAAATTATTGTGCAGTTTCTCTGCCTAAAAAGGATAAATCTGGAATAAGTGTGATCCCCCAGAAGCACTAATTACAACAAATGAAAATTGCAGACTTAGTTTGATTGAGTAAAAGATAATCAAAAGATCCAATATCTAGTTGTCCAGAATATACGATTTAAAAGCAAAATGAGTGTAAATAAAGTATAATTTTCTGAAGTCGGGCCTAAATGAAGTGGATTATTTTTACTACCATCTATCCATATATCAAATTTTATTAAAAAAAATATTTTCAGTAATTTTTGAGTTTTCGCAAAACTTGTTACATTTGTTATTTTTTGCCATAGCAACCAAAATGTTCATAATTTCCGGACTGCCATCTACCTATATATTAAAAAAGTCAGAATCTTAAACATCAATTCTGTTACTAACACTTATCTCAAATTGACATTATAGTTGGATAAAGGTAAATTTGACGTATCTAGAAATAACGGAAGTTCTAAATTTATCTTCAATCTTTTCTTGTTTTTAGTTTGTTTTTGGTTTAGTTATTTCTATTCCAAACAAAGACTTGTAATAGAAACTGATCAACTTACTGTTCAAATTTCCAAGACGGTGTTCGCCGAAACATTTTTTAAACGAAGTACTACATTGAAAATCAACCCTTTCTTCTTTTTTCAGCGCAAGGTCTAGTATTTGTTTATTAGCTGCAATAACTTGATGTTCCGACAATCTAAACGTAACAACTTCATCCTTGACATCATCATATTTGCCTGCAACAATCTTGGAAAGATATTTATCGACATCATCAATCAGTTGATCAATCCTCTTCATATCAAGAATTACATCGTCTGTAATCGCCTTGTATTTATTCTCAACTTCTAGAAGTAAAGACTTTTCCAATTCTTCAGCTTTTTTGATAAACTCTTCATTAAAACTCTTAATGTTTCTTCTTGTTTCATTTTTGTCTTCTGCCAGTTTGCACAAATATTCGAGTCGATCGTGCTTTAGTTTTTGCAAATCAATGATTTGTTGTTTCAATTCTGTTTCAACACTTTCTTTGTCTTGACTTTTTAGAAGTATTTTAGCAACATTTGGAATGTATTCCACTCCTGTACATGATCTTAAATTAGTAAAGGAAACAATGAATATATATAATATATGTGAAATATCTGGAACATCTCATATAAATAAATCATATGTATATATTTCAAATATTTCAAACTATTGCAACAATGCAAAAAACATAAAAATGAGCATGTATGTATGGAGCAGAATTAGGGTATTTATTCATATGACTACTTGTTGTTTTCATTTGCATAAGTTTAAATCATATTCCTACAAATTTGATTCATCTGTGAGAATCTCAAAGTTCTTTACTTAAATATTTATTTATTCTTTCTTACTATGTTTGTAGTAAGTTGTAATATTCTAAAGCCAATGCCAGTACTTCATCTTAATTCGTTTGATTTAATATTAGATACCAATAAATTACTTTTTTTAAACATGTGCTATTTCTACTTATTTAAAAGAAAGTGTGTTTTCTCGAATTTGTTTCTTAGAAATGTATCTGTGCAACTCTTATTCTCATTCGATTCACACTGAAAAAAAATTTGTATGTAGAGGCTATAAGAATTGTTGTTATAGAGATTTATCCATATTTTAACTTTATGAAATTATAACATTAAACAACCTTAAGCGAAATAAAACTGACTCATTTCAAAACAGCAGAACAAATAAAAACTAGAAACCACGTGATTAATATTTGCTTTCTGTGTCCTAGCTGTAAAATTCTAGCGCAAAATCTTAGTGACGGGATATAACTCATGTATCGCTTCGGTATTTTCTGTGAGCACAAGGTGTGAGGATACAATGCTACTCGGCAATTTAATCCAAGTTTATAGGTAGCACACCACAATAATGTAAGACACAGCTTTGAATGGCCAGGGAGGATTTCTTGGATATAGTGAATATTCTGGATTTAACCTTTTACCCCATATTGTGAAAATGGCAGTTTTCATTGAAACCCTCCTGTTACAAGTTCAAACTGCTATAAAGCTATAAAAAATGCTTCAATACTGATGAAACTTGGCACACAACTTGAATGGACCATGGCCTCTGTAACAGCATGAATCGTAAATTTTCTGTTACCACGGCAACTGGGAACGTCTCAAAATCACTATTTTGCATTGTTTTTCCCATCAAAACTGATTTCAAAGTGCTGCAACTTCTTAATGAATAGGCTTTTCAGCGTCGGTTACTAGTTACCCTGACATCGACCTGAGGCCATGTTTAGCCTGTCACATTTCCAAAGTTTTGTTGGCGATGAGGGGGGCTACCGCCACCTTCAACCCCCCCAAACAGAAGGGGGCACATCCCCCTTCTGGCAACCCCCTGATGTACTATTTTGATAGGGGGCGCGTCGAAAAGTGGTCACTTTTTTAACAACATTTCTCAAATGAAAAACAGTGTTGGGGCCTAAATAGGGCATTTTTTCACTGTTTGAGGTCTCAAAAAGGAGGGGGGGGGGCAAAAAGTCGTCAAAATACGTCTATATAAGGGAAAAGGTTAAATGACTGGTTGTCTTTAAAGTGCATTTTAAGCATGAAATTTGTTTTTGTGACATCTAATATGATCACTTTCAAATTTGAAAACATGGCCAGAAATCACATGCTGTTGATTATAGATGTTAAGGCCGCCATTTTTTGTGAACATTGCTTTTAAACAGCATGCACGGTAAAGACAAGTCATTTTATAGGGGGATACAAACTATTAGCAGTAGTAAAAAATCTGCAAGGTTGAGCACCAGTTTGTGATATTTTGCATGTAAAGGGAGTTGCTAAAGCAGAGACGGTGTTCCTTTAGCCTGTATATTTGCAGGTCTTTTTTGCCAGAGGGACGAAATGTGTTGTTTTGGGTCTCGGGCCACTGTAGATTTTGGGCTTCAACGGAATGAATAACAACTTTTTTGACTGCATGGGATGATTTCTATGTATATTTGCAATCTTATGTCATTAATGTTCTCAACAAAATGTGTTTTCTTTTTCTAGATTGTTTTGTTTGGTATCAGAATTATTAGACGTACATGTATTGCTTGTAGCACATTGACGGCAGAAACTTGAAATTTACTTTGGAGTGCTACCCTGGATTTCGTGGAGTTTTTAAGAGAATATTTCTATGGTTACATCGTCAGAAATTACGGACTTGTACGGAAATATTGGTTCCCGGCCAGATGTATAAATTTAAATTTCGTAAAATGAAACAAACAAACAAACAAACAGTGTAATTTCGCATTCGTGTTATTGAGTTCGTATTTGTCTACGTGCATTTGTATAGATTTTATTTTATTGTTATGTAACCCACTTTGTATTCTTAAAAGGAAGGACGTTCAAGATCATAAGTTAAAACTAAATAATTCAAATTGAAAAGGAAGAAGTATGCAACATAATATCTAAACACGTAGTTTAAACAAGAAGTCGAAACAATTGATCCTTACATTCTGCAGTATCAAAATACAAATGTTAAACTGGCAATTAAAAAGTAGCAATTAAACTTGTTTAAATCAATTTAAATTTATATGATTATAGATAAGAAAATTAATGAATACGAATACAAATTAAATAAATAGAAATTGAAAGATAAACAGCGAATAAATACCCAAATTCTGCTCCATATGTATGAATTCATGTTTTCAAAAAAAGTTAGGTTTCAAAAGTGTTTCAATCAAACTTCTTTAAGTCTATGCATGAACATTAATACTTCTATAAAAGTTACCCGTGTTTCAGTATACAAATAGGACAGTATACTTCATCATGTGTCTTGCAGTACATTTCAATCATCTTGTCCTGATGTTCCTTGCACTTATAACCTTTTAAATGAATCAAACTTCCTCCAATATCCTTTGCGCGGACATCAACTACCTTATGACCTATGACAAACCGATTGTGTCCATATCGACAATTTGCACAGAGGAAGGTTTTACACTCGACACATCTGTATATTGCTTCTGAATTTTTACCCTGTTCTGAGCATGGAGAGCAAGAAAAATCATGTATAATATCCGAGGCTTTTATAAAACTCCTACCGCCGGTCGCCATTTTGATTAAGTAACTATAGACAAGTGGCAATGTAAACAGTTATGACAATTTAAGAGGCATGACGGTTACGTTTATTTTTTGTAGGATCAATACACACGTTTATAACTTTCAAATTGTTAAATCACGACTAAAGTCAATCGATATTTTATATAGATATATATTTTAAAGTATGATATTACAAGTATACGTCATTACAATACAACAAAAGACCTTTGTTGAAGTTCTTGTTCTTTTGCGATTATTGTTTCAAAGATATAAAATACTGATAATATACTAAAATAAACTAATGGTTATAAACATATTGTATTACACGTATCTAAAACACAGTGTTTACAGACAAAGGCATTTTTTAAACTTACAAATTAATTAATGTATATTATACCATGAACAAACTGTCTGCTAGAATATAAAGTTCCCTCATAATTATAACTCCCATTAAACTTATTTAGGTCTTCAGGAAATATTTTTTGGTAAAGCTTACATATTTATCATCCGAGATGAGAGAAGTTTTGTAATATCATATATCCCTCAATGTAGTTTAACTTTATATACTAATAATTTAAATAAAAAGTGTTATTTATTATGTTAGAGTTAAGTTAAAGTATACAATATTTTAAAGTGTTCATTTGTTAACTAAAGATGGATTTACTATCATAAATAACCTGATTAAGGTAATAACTTTTGAATCCATTTTTTAAAACGAAATCGTAAGTTTTTTTAGTTGACTATAGACAACAGGTTATAGGAGAGTTTGCTTGTAACTTAAGTTACTTACTATAGCTCTGATTTATCAAATATTCAGGAATGTCAACATATACATGTTTCTTGAAATTAAAGCTGATTTTAGATAAAAAAAATATTTTTACAATGTTTTACATTTTCTAAATTATATTGCACAAGATACACGTTTCAGCTTATCTTAATTGTAAGCAGCCAGCCAGAGGATAGTAATCGGCATTAATTGTGTCGATCCAAACGAATGTCCAACGTATCTGATTGATTAATTTTATCAGGTTCGTTTCAATCTAAGATAAAGCTTGGAGGCTTTCGTGGCCGTGTGTGGTTATTGGTTTAAACAAATTTATTTAACCTCGATTGCGAAACAAGTTCTTGCAACTTATATTAATCACTTTCGAGTCCGCTTCCTGGAACCAACCAGTACTGGTGTCATATGAAGAAACATGGTCGAGTAGGGCTCGAACCCATGATCTCTGGGTTGAGAGGCAGACACCTTAACCACTAGGTCACCGCTGCCGAGTGTGGTTATAGTTGTTGTTGTCGTTTTGTGTTTTAAGGCCCTAGATGATAACCTCGTGTGGTAATTGTAATTGACTTTAAACTTGCAGCTCACCACTATGGGTTAAAATACTGCCAGGCATTTCAAATCACTTCATATAAGGACGTTATCCATCTATTTAGGTGCCTTAAATATGAGGTCTTAATCCATCAGTTAGGCTAAAAAGTTGCCATATGACCATTACAGTGTTGGTTTGTCGTTAAGCCCATCCAAACAAAGGTATCTTTGAAAAAGATACTCGGCCAGTAAAACGGGTTAACATGCAAAATTATGCTATAATTTCTAAGTTTTCAATACAAAAAGAAATGTTAGCAATGCTTGCTTAATAATGACATACTAATCATTTCCTGTAGCTAAATAAAATACACATTTTGTAAACATTGAAACTAAATTATTGCATATTGTTATTGATGATTTTTAAAGTAGGACAACTTCTGTTTTAAGATGTCACTTTTACTTATTTTACGTTTGACTTTACACATTTTGTTTTCATTTACAAATTAACCTAAAAGTTAAAGACCTGTATTAATTCATGTGCATTTTATTTAAGAACTATCCTTTACATTTTATTTTCTGTGGCAAAAACATCCCTATAATTTAATGTCAGAGCTATCCTTTAATTTTATTTTAGATGGTAAGAACTATCCTTTACATTTTATTTCAGAATGATTATAATTGTCATTTACATTTTATTTTAGAATAGCCAATGAGATTCACCGACTTCAGTTTGTAATTTTAAAATTACCAATGGAAATTATTCTCATATTCAGTCATTCACTGTTAATTTTAAAGAAAGTCATACTAATGACAAACAGACCTCGTCCGAAAAAGGAAAAAGCGTTTTAAGGAAAGACCATTTAATTAATTAAAGAAAATGTTAAACCTTTTAAAGATTTTATATTTGAGCTGATCATTTTATTTATTTCTTTCCTTATAAATGTACTAATCAACTTGAAGGGAATGCACCACGTGATATTCAGATAAATATGATAATTGGATATGATCTTATTACACTAGCATAGTTTTCATTATTCTCCAGAGTTAAGAAAGAATCAAATGTTCATTGTACCACCATTTGGATTCTAAATTATCAATATGTTCCACTGTCCAAAAGTTCTGTATCAAATTAATCTTTCACTACAACGATATTTTCTATACATATCACTGCATTTACCAAAGTTATGTCGTTGTAACTCTACATGTCGCCGTTGATAATACTTCTATCAGTTATCTCTCTTAAACACGCTTTAAAAGTCTTTATTAAGGTAGAACGCGACACTTTGCGAACTTTCGAGAAGCGTCTTGAAAATTGGTATGCAAAAAGTTGACCAAATTTCTGATTAGGTTCGGGGCCAGACAGAATCCATAGATTTTATTTCAAAAGTTTCAGCCAATCTTTTAACACACGGCGTCAAAGTTGACCATCAAATCCCGTTTTTGAACATGACGTCGTTGCGTATCCTTGGCAACTGTTACGGGTATTTCGACGCCATTGCCGGACAAAATATCTTAAATTCTATAGCATTCGACGGAAAATACTTTTCCTTTAAGCTGATATAAAATTTATTGTTTTACGCCGAGAAATCTTTGAAAAATGGAAAGAAAATTGTCAATTTTGTGTAAAATTTGACGTTCAGTTTAGCCGCAATATTCGGCTTTAAAGTGGCTTATTTAAAAATTTCTGAAATAAATTGTTGATTTTTATCTTTAAACGTCCTTCAAAATGTATACTTAGTCAAAATAACTAAAAAAAATAAGGGGCTCACCGACTCAATTTTTTGGTACATGTGATTTTATATCCCCCACCCCTTGAGTAATTTTGTTACGAAATTCGACGTATGCAGATACGTTTGAGACTTAAAATTCCGGCAATAATGTTCAGTGTATCAGGAGAATTGTTCCAGAGCTTAACTTATACATAAGAAAAAATTACCAACAATGTTTCAATGCAAATGCTTAAAATTTAAAATGAGACCTGACGATGAAAAAAGATATTTATATTTAAAATCTTAGCCAGGGACTGGAACCCAGGCTAGTAAAGTCTAAATACAAGTACATTTCAATATAACGTGTTACTTGAGCAAAAAGGAACTGCCAGCAGTGAACGAAACTTGCTAGATATGTAACAACAATTGTCTAACTATCATGGGCTTGGTCGCAGTGCAATTTTATTGAATTTATTATCGCCTTTCCATTTTGTGACGTAAAATTTATGCTTCCTGAAAAAAAGTTGTACGAAAAACAAAAAAAAATCTTCTTTTTTTAAGCATGATTAATAACTTCATATGGAATTGTAAACAGACACATGTAAAGAAAATGACGTCAGGCGTTCAACGGCAACGCGTACGCTGCACAAACAAATACAGCGGAGAGTTATCATTGCGGTGTAACTTTTTGATATTGTAATACATTTAAGTTAATAAACTTGAATCGAGAAATATGTCATAAGGAACAAAAAGCAACTATATACGGAATATTATGTTGTACCATCTTTCTGAGGCTTTGTATTTTGCTACGAGCAGCGGTGGAAAATTGAAATCTCGCGAGACCGAAGGTCGAGCAAGATATTAATTTTCCAACGTTGCGAGTAGAAAAATACATAGCCTTAGAAAGATACTACAACATAATTCTCCTTTAATTATAAACCTTTTCATGAGTGACGGATGAATACGTAATTCATGCAAAACTGGCCACGCCTTTAATAACTTTGGTTCCAGTTTCCAAATGCAACGTTATACAAAGCTAAAATCGGAACCAACGTCAAAATAGTCCGGCACTTCCATATATGGTACCGTATTTGTCACTAACATAATACCGAAATTTCTATCTGTTGAGGATTATTCGGCTTCAAAATTTGCCTGTATTTTAGGTAGAAAATTTAAAGGTATATAATACATAATTTTATGTGAATTTAGAAATATAGATTAATTAAAATATACGGTTCATAAATGAATTTAATCAATTATATAAGCGTGAAGCAACAATCATGTTTGAAACATTAGCTTAGTGGGTGTTGGACTACAGATGTAGCACATTCGATTCTACAAGTAAATAAACATCTTTAATATATTTTCTCTCGTTTTGCTTATCATTTTTGATTATTATTATAATGTTAAAAATAACGTTTAATTGAGGATTCACCATATACGCTGTATTAAAAACATCAATATCAAATCGGCCTTTGCAAATATTCATTATTCATTGTATAGCCAAATTTATGGTAGAATTAATTTTGAACAGGAAAACTTAAAAACAGTATTTTTAAACATGAAATATAATAAACGCTGTAAATTCACGTCTGCGGATGTTTAGCAGAACATATATAGCGAACCAGGCGGTTCTGAGCTAGATACTGCACAAAGGAGTGTTGCGTTGTAAATCTTTTTACAAAATAAAGATATTTCAATATATACTGTCATTTTTATCAGTACATGCTACAGGCACTGTAGAGGATCTGTCGATGTTTTATATGTTCTGTTCACCGACCATTTAATCAGTATGCAATTGACATGTTAATAAAACAAGGAAATATTTCATTTTACTCAAAGTTTTACTATTTAAAATGTTATTCTGACAAATGTCAGATCAGACTTTTATTTCTTTCCTCTTGTAGAAAGTGGGTCATTCTGAAGTACATCCTTTTTCTCTGTTTTATATACAAAATGTATATTTACAAGAATAAAAAATCATATTTTGGTAATATTTAAAAAAAACGTATTTTAGTC